CTTTTCCTTGTTTCTTAAAATTATGAAGTCTGGAGGGCAAGGATCATCATCTACTGTAGTTTTATATGATGCATCCCTTGCCATAGGAACTGCTACGGTAGAAACAGTAATTAATAATACTCATGCTTGGCCAATGTACTTTGATATTGCTACACTCTAGATTTTTATCTTTCATTTCCTGGCTTTAACTCCTTTCAGTGATTGCATCTCATTGTGTTTCATGGTGTAGCTTTTAATGGCTTCTTCACAAATTTCAGGTGAATTACTTAATCATGGTAATCTTTTGATCTGCTAGATCACTGCACTAGGGAATCAACCGACCTGTGTTCTGCTCCCGGTTCTTCTACTGACTGATTTGCTGTGTGACCTTAAGCAACTTACTTTGTGTCTCTGCTCTTTCCTTGTCTTTGTTTTGTCCCATCCAATTGAACAATGGGAATAGCTACTACTATATTTTCTAAGATGCTTAAAAGAATAGCATCTTTATTTTACTCAGCAACTTTAGTTGCAGCTACTGTCATGCTAGGTAATAAGGTTGATTTTCTTTTGGTAATAGTCCATTAGGCTGATTTTGCTCACTCTGACCTTTCATCTTTTATGTGAATAAACTTAGGAAATACATATTGTGAGCTACAGAGTAGTCAAGAGCTATTTGCAGAATAATCTAAACTGTGTATAAAGGCCTATTACTTTCTACTTTTGACATTTTTAATACCCCAAACTTATTTGATTCTCACCTTGCTAAATACTCCCTGATGTTTTACTCTCTTTGGAAACAACTTACTTTCCTTTTTCCTTCTCCGTAGACCAATTAGCCCTCTTCTGGACCAGAACACTCCCGATTTTACCACTTTCTGCTCCGTAGGCGAATGGTTACAAGCTATTAAGATGGAAAGATATAAGGATAATTTCACAGCAGCAGGCTACAACTCTCTTGAATCAGTTGCCAGGATGACTATTGAGTAAGTTAGTACTGGGCATGTTTAACTTGCATTTAGGGAATTTCTAGGTAAAATAATACACAATGTTCAACTCCAAAACTTTACCCTGAGTACAAACATGGTACTTGGGGTTAAGCCAGCCGGTTTAGCAGCTGATGATGTTGTACTAGAGCATCCCATGAAAGGGCAAATACCCTGCTACCTATGTGTGGCATCACTTTTTTCCCTGCTTTTGAGACCACTTGAAATAACATCAAGGGGCTAGAATTTGAGGGAGAATGTGGCCCGTTTCAAAATATGTGTGTATAGGGAAA